AACTCGAGACCTTACTTAAGCTGAAACAAGTCGTTTACCACTTGATCCAACCCCTCGTTGGTATATAAATAAAATAAGTTAATAGTAAAAAAAAAAATGTCTCCAATCATTTTTTTTTTTTTTTTTAAAAAGGGTCAAATGCCAATCACATTTCTTGACCTAGTGGTAAAGGACTCACTGGTGTAATATTTTCGGTTTTGACTTCGAGTCTTATCAGTAAATTTATCTCCCATCCTCTAAATTTGTAGTTATAATTAAAAAGCAATTATTTGTTGAAAAAAAGTCAAACGACCAGTCAGAGAAAAAAAATTTAGGATTCTGGAATTGCCTTCTTATATGCATATTCTATTGTTTCATTTCACAAATGAAAAATCAGAGGGTTTTTTTAATGCGATCTGCGTTTAAAACATCACTTTTAAAGTAGGAAAAGATAAAGGTAATATTAAAATTAATTATTTAAATTTAAATATAATTAATAATTAATTAATACATTTGAACTTTTGATCCAGTAATATCAAATCATATATAAGTATATTTTTTTTTTCAAAGCAACTATTCGAATCTAATTTATTGTAAATTTATTTAAAAAAAATAATTAATAATTAATATAACATAGTTGATAACTGTGCACAAAAGCACAAACTCAACGCCCCTAAAACTATCATTAGTAAAACGTCACTTTGAAGCGGGAAAAGGTGAAACTATCATTAGTTTAGCTTTATGTGTCTCTCATTTATTAAAGTTATTTTTTCCTTTTTAACTATGGATTAATACTTTATATGATAGAAATAACTTAATAATAATTTTATTTTAATGGAAATGATTCAATAATAATCTTATTTTAATAAAAATAAAAATCATAAATTAAAATCATAAATCATATAAATGAAGTAAATTATGAGATGAGACAAGATTGATTTGCATTATGCAACTTTAAAATTAAAAACCAAATAAAAATAGACAAATTTTTTTTTATTACAGAATGAACTATTCTGAAAAACAAATGGCAAACTTAAATAGGGATATAATAGATATTGCAAAGTAACTGTCTTCTATCTTTGCTAGATTAAGGTCTTTGAGGAGCACCTAATGACATAGAAGGCGTTTGGTGAATTATATTCCTACGAAACAGGGTTTATATATTTTTTTTATGTGATTTTTTTGGAGTACAATGGAGCGATAAAAAAGAAGAAAATAAGGAGCACGAGATAAATGGTAAAGCGAGATGAAATTCGGCTGAGAAAGAAGGGTAAAATTGCACTTTAAATGCATTTGCCCTGAAATTAAGAGTAATTAACTGATTTTCTTGAAAATTAACTAAAACAACTAATAATAAGGATTACAAGTAGTCATTATAATGATAAATAATTTTATAATTATAATGTATCATAATATAATTATTTTTTATTTAAAAATCCAAGCATTATATTATATGAATTAATTAATTTAATAATACAACATAACTATAAATTTATTTGGTATTACAATTATATCATTACTATTTTCCTTCTAATTCTAAATATTTTTTGCCGTGGATTCGGTCGGGCCCTTGGCCCTTGAATCTGGACCCAAGTTGAGTACATGTCATAACATAACTGTATGGTGTACTTGCGTCCGAGTTTTCTTTCTTCTTCTTCTTCTTCTTTTTTAATTTTAAGTTTAATAATTAGAGATAATTTTTTTATAAATCTTAATTTACTCTACTCTCATATTATATTATTTACATTTAAAATCTTTTATTTAATAAGAGTCTTGTTTGCACAAAATAAAGACCATCTCAACAAGTCTATAATGTTAAGAATTGGTAGTGGACTTGGTGTAGCAACGGAGAGCAGAGTTGTGAGGCTTATTTTTGGTCGCTTTCTTTCCCCCATTTGAAGAACTGTACAGGGCAGAAGAGAGTTCAAAAATCAGAATACATATAAAGATTAGGATTAATTTGACAGAGAAGCCCCCAACACAAAACTAAATAAAATTTAACCAAGCCAATACCTACTACCTTGATTAGTAAG